TCTAGGTTTTGCGTAATGAGTTTGAGTGTCGCTTGTCTATCAACTAATTCCCCATTTATTCTGCCACATCACAGGGAACACGGCTATCAAAGTTGCCCCTTTACCATTGTCTGTTTTCTTTTTTTTTTGCCTCTTTTTTATTTTTGCTAATTAAGATTCATGACGAGTTAATCTGCGGGCAGAGCCCAAAGTTAACTAGTCAGTCCAGGCGGCTCTTTCCTATGGGTGCTATGTAAATGGCATGCATGTATCTATATACTTATATATAGATATACATATATATAGACATATTTGTATGTATGATAGGTATGTGCAGCTAGTTCCCACTTGAAGTACCATTGAGTTTTTATCTCTCGTTCCATTCGTTCCGTTCTCTCGCTCACATTTCAAGTGTGTCAACAATGGGAGATGAAATTTGTTATTATCTAATTGTCTGTTATTTCTCCTACTTGCCCTTCTCCCTAGCTCCCTCCCTCCCGCCAATGGCCTCCTGGGAGCCGACCCCATCCGCCATTCCAGCAACCCAATGACTAACCGCCATCGCGGGAGCTGCAAACAGAAATAATAAACACCAACAAGTGTCGTAAAAACAAATTAACGGCGCACAAGCAAACACTTGTCCCTGTTTCAGTGCTTCCCTACCTACCCCTACCCCTACCCCAACCCCGCACCGTCTACCTTTAACTGCCACACCTCCCATTGCACAGCTCTAAACTGGTAGCAGCCCCTAAGTTTTAAATGAGCAAACATTATTTTAATTTATTGCATAGCATGGCAATCCCCGCTACACTAATCCGCACAATAATAACAGCGGCTACACCATTTGGCTGGCACTCTGCTCACATTCCCTCCCTTCCTCCCCCGCTTACCCCTTACCCGTGCCATCTCTCACGCCACCAGATGCATTGTTACCCCTGGCCCCGTTGCTCCGTCGCTGCTTTGCCCGCTGCTTCACACGTTCTCCGTTCTATCTCTGATCTAGGTAGAAAGGGAGCAGGGAGCAGGGAGCAGGGAGTAGGGAGCAGGAAGCAGGGTGTAGGGAGTAGTGAGGGGCAGCAAGCTGGGCGCAACTTAACAACAGATTCCCCCTGGGTCGTCCACAATTGAGCACTTCTCATATTTTCGATTTGTATGCGCGAGCTGCAAGAACAGATCCGGAAGTGAGAGCACCCGTGTGCTTTCCAAATCTAAAGCGATTTAAGAAAAGACAATTTTTCCCAACGAAACAAGTGCAATATAATCCAAATTGCACCAAGTCTATGCCTGGGAATATGTCCGATTATATTGTGTTATGTATTAATTAAAAATAAATTAAACTAATGCTAAATATTCAGTTTCTCCACATTTACTACAGAGAGCATGTCTTTCAAATTTAAGAACCGTATTTGTTTATTTAGTGTACATATTATTATCATATAAATATTTATATTTTAAAAGTATTTTTTGTTTTATTGAGGCATAAAGCAGACACAAAAGAAAATTATATGAATAGATTCATTATTTATCATTTCTAGCCAGCAAGTGTCTTATCAACAAGATTTTCAATACAAACATCAACATGGATATTTCTATGGTAATCGATAAGCACTTTTTTTTATTGTTAGTAAATTATAATTGACTAGTTGTTTGTACGTAAAATTAAAATTCAAATGACGACTGCGTTGCCAGTCGAATATCGAATTAATTTGTCAAAAGTATAATTAACACGTCGCAATGGCCATCGGACGTATTCAACAAAGATAGAGTATTATAGTTACCAAATTATGTATGTGCGCATCATCACTCAGCCCATTCCCATGACCGCTCCCCAAACGTGCTCTGAATGAGTGCCATTATTAAAATTAAATAAATAAGAACACCTTCGTTGCGAATGCTCGACTTTACCATACTGCGTAAGCATGCTTAAAGCATCTGGATCGACAGTGATGTGAATAACTATCAGAAACTACGAATAACCACCACTAACTACTGCCATTAGTATGAGTTACTACTGCTTAGTATTACTTATACTTATAATTAGTATACTACTTCTAACCACTGTAGAAATATAGTTAGATATACTAGTCATAGCTACTATTACCTACTTCTATTACTACTAATCCAATACCTTCTCCTACTACTATTATTACTGCTCCTACTACTGCTTACTTACCAACTATTTATAGCTACTATTATTAATATAACTACTACTAATAGAAATACAGCTAATTCCACGTATCTTAACTGCTACCCCTACTTCTATTACGACTAATAAAACTCTCTTTTCTACTACTGTACCAGTATTACCACTACTATTCCTCTGATATAACAACGACTTCTACTACTACTATTAATATTACTTCTACTAATATTAACTATTAATAATTCTACAACTTTTACTACACATAATAATACTAATTATACCTCTAACTACTACTTCCACTACTACCACTACTACAGATTAGCATTTGTAATTATCAATAGATCTGTCACAGAATCTATGCCCACAGATATGCCCATTTAAATGACTATAAAAACCTAGGGCATGGAGGGAAAAAAGAAGAAAAACACACTCATTTCCAACAAATTTAATTTCATTTGATGCCTTTCAAATGACGGACAATAACGAAGCTGACAATTGTTGTTGGCTTTTACAAATTGTATTTAGTTTTAATTATAGATTTCAGTTGTAGCCATCATCATTTCTGGTCACTTCATTTTGGCCACTTCATAAACACACACACACACACTTACGCACACACGAAACTAATTATTTTCGAGAAAGATACACATTTCCACGACATTTCATTTGCATATAAAGAGGGACGTTCTAATGGATCGCATTTGCATTTGTATTTGCATAATTTGGCAACAAAAGAACATGGCCAAGTCTCAGTTGGACAGATAGATATACAATTAACAATTTAGTGGCACCCCCCAACACCCCACTTGGGCACCTGTGGCACACATAAACACACTTACTAATTGACTAATTATTGTGGGGATGCACGCCGATAAGTCAATTTAAATACTAATTATAGATCTTACTAACTTTCAAAAAACATGTTTCTGTTTGGGCTGCCGTTGGGTAGAATTTCTATTCACTTCGCTACATACTTTTAGAATGGGCTTAGGTGTTGCTGTTTAGAAACAGTCTATCCAAAAATTGTATGCGAACAGTTTGAGAGATCTCCATTCGGAGTTACCCCGAACGATGCCACTTCAATTCAAATCCATGTCTTTGCAACAAAGTGCGATTTATTCTATTCAGAACATTATTGATTTTGATGAGAGCACTTGATCAAATCAGTTATAATAACTATTATGACTAGATGAAGGTGGTTCGTGGTTCGATGTCAGTTAATACAGGTGTGCAACTGACTCTCTGCACTTACTCTCAAATGTAAAATTGAACTAATGCAATAGTAATTTAAATGTCAAATTGGTCATACGTACAAGAAGAGGATTAAATTTATTTACAAAATGACAGGAGTTGGCATATGTACTATAAATAAATATCCGATAAACTGATTAAAATTGTGATTTTAATTTAAAGTTACTCATTGATGAATTTACGTCAATATAATTGTGCCAAGTATAACTCAGAAATTGAAGAGATTCGCATTTAGTAAAGTAAATGGATAACCTGAACCCAATCGTCCAATGATTAAGAGGCATGTGCATTTAGAGACCATATCCCCTTTGCTGGCTATGCTGCGTACTGGGCATAGTTGTGGATCATGGACGATTGGGCGGTGGGTGGGGAGGGGCGGGCCAGCTGTTCCATCTGGCAGCCGTATGAGTCACGCGAGTGTTTGCCTGGCCCAGCTGCCGGTCTGTGCTCCATATGTTTTCACTTAGAGCATAATCATTGCTATGCTCCGCCAGGCCACGGGGAATGGGGGGAAGTGGGGAAGAGGGGGAGAGGGTCTGCTGTTGTGCTCCATATGAAAGCAGAGACTGTTCCATTTAACGATGCATTTCGACTTAAATTTAGTGGCAAAACATTGTTGAGCGCATTAAGTAATTACGATTATGCTGTTCGCTTGCTTTGCCTACAGATAAATATGAAAATGCATTCGATTCATTGGTTGCAACTTGTTTAGCTCCACTCTCGATACGCTCGACACGCTCGAAACACTCGACACCCCCGCTCCTCCCCCTTCCCTGGTCGCCCTCAGGCAGCATCAAGTGCATGATGGCGAACAGACGCCGAACTCTGGAGGGCATTGAGGAATAGAGACTGGGGCCATGTTGTGGAACATTTAGAAATATACATCGCCATTTAATTGTTCCCACCAAATAAGTTTGTGCATTCACATGGAAAATCTATTACTTAAACCAATTTATCTTATCAAATGTATTCCGTCTTGTACAACAAGAAACCAGTGCAAGTGTTGCAGTTGGAATTTGATTGAAAGCTGGTGGAAGAGAGTCGACTCAATTATTAAGCAAGTGCTTCTAAAGCAATGAGAGATTAATGCACCAGACATAAAAAAAATTAGGGTTGTCAAGAAAATCCTTATCAATCGCCTTATTGAAGCTGCTTTATCACTAGCCAATTTGTAGTCATATTTTGTAGTTTCTCAATAGCTTACAAGTATATTAAATATACATTTGTGAACTTTAATCTCCTTGTGGGGGGGTTAACAAAGAAAACAAAAAATAGCAAAGGGGACAACCATTCATTATGGCCACCATTTATCAAGTGCATAGCATTTGGGCGCATTCCAAACGGAACTACACCCTATTCTCACCCCTTACTTTTCTGGAGGGAGGTGGTCAGACTAAATGCCAGTTATGGTAGTGGCCAGTAGTTGACCCAACGCGCCAGGGCCATCCATCAACTTCATGAAGAGCAAGACGCGCAAGTGTGCGTGTAATTTCTATGAGGCCGCAAACTTATCGAACATGCAGGGTGTGGGGCGGGGTGGACACCTATAAGCCCCCTTGTATATATATATTTATATACATATATATATATATGCATGTTTGGGCCAAGAAACCCTTAGTCTACTTACATTCGTCCGTCCATCCATCCATCCATCCATCCATCAGTCACATCAGTCACTCATTCATACATTCGTTTTTCTTTTCATTTTTTTTCTTCGTGCTTTCGTTTTGCTTCCTGTTTTTCTGGCACTTCATCAACATCACAATCATAACAGACGAGAGTCCTAGCCAAAACTCTTTCTCGCTAAGTAACCCCAAGCGAAAGGGGGTAGATGAAGTCCACAAGTCTGTAAACTGATTGTCATAAGGGTATTTTATGTCGTTTATTCGAATTTTAATGGTTTACTCTTTGTTTGATTTACGACTTAACCTCAAAATATATATATACATATATATATATATATATATATTGCTGGGTTTTCTAAATTAAAGATCTGGAACTCATCGAATCTTTGTTGGCTACGACAACGAGTCGTAAAAAGTTACTTCGATGTGTTTTTCATAAATAAATACATATATATAAATGAAATTTGAGATAACATTTGTTGCAAGCAGATGAATAGCTTCCTCTAAAACTAAACAATGGTTTTTGGGCAAAGCTCCCGTTGCGAATACCTGCAAGCAGAAAGGATCTAAGGCGACCTTTTCGAGAACTATTTGGATGCCCTATCGAAATCCTATTTGCTTTCCCTTTCGTTGTCAGCTTATGAAATTGTCCTGAGCCTGTCAATCGGGCCGCGCATCCCTCAATCTAACCACTCCCCTCACCCACTCAATTTACTTGTCTGCCAACATGCGAGTATTTTGTATTATTTTTTTTACGAATTTGTATCTGGCATTTGAGAGTCTGTACGTTAATATTTGGATTGCGTGTATTTGTATTTGTTTTCTGGTGCAGGGATTGTGGAGGAATTGTGGAGGGATTGGGATACTGGGTACTGTGTACTGGGTACTGGGTAGTGGGTACCGTGTTGCCAAAATAAATCCGCTATAAGCCCCTTGCGCAAAAATGTTTTTCCTATTTTGCATAAAAAGTTGCGCTTATCCCTTTCACGTTCGCATATTTAAATTCGTTCCTCTGATATTTGAAATTCGATTTTTGTACATCTTTTTCCTTTTTTTTTCTTTTTTTCTTGCCAAGCTTCACCCTCCCTCTGCCTAATTCTATTTTAGTATGGACGCAGTTCCGGGTTCGTATTCGCAATCGAAAGGCAGGTTTTTAGTTGCATGCTTATCATTCAATAGGTTTTCGCCCATTTGCGTTTCGTGTGTATTCCACGTGTGCCACGTGTTTGCTTATTTTTCTTTTAAATTCGCACACACACACCCAACACACACACACCCACACACACACATACGTGTGCTTAGCTTGCTTGTCCGTGTGGTTGCGTGTGAAAATTCACAAGTGCGAGTGGATTTTTTTTGGGGTCAGGCAGCTAACGTCGACTTCTCAGGGGCTTATAACTATCTGAGTAGAATTTGAAATTGCAACTGACAGCGAATGTTGCACAAGCGACAGTTTAATAAGCAACTCGAGACATTAAGCAACGCTCTGTAACTGAAGCCCTTACACTTTGTCAGCCGTGGAAAGCGACTGCCAAAAAGGGGCGGAACTTCTCTTCTGCTGCACGCACACACACACACACAGTCGCTTCGACAACATACAACTGCTCTGATTGTGCCACTTCTATTCCTTAGAGCTGTTACCTAAGACTAGTGATGTGTATCTGGCATATCAGAGTGGCTATTTGACACTTTTAACAATTATCTAGCAGTGCTCGATTTAATAGATGTGTTCTGAACTTGAATTTAAATTATATTTTATTTTTAATCAGCGCTATCTCGTTAATTATATTTTGTATTAAGCATAAATCATTTTGCCATCTGCTTAGCATATGTTTCTTGTCTCGGGTAGTGTCTGGCTTTTAATTGGCCAATTTATCGGGATTGTGACATAATTGCATAATAGTAATCGCTATTAGTTAGTTAATTTAATTAGTAATCTATTTATGAAAGAATCCATAATTTAAATGTAAATTCTTCGAATAAATCGGTCCAAGCTTTCTTGACTTTTATTAGAAAATTTAGTTTTAGTGGAAATTGTTTGGAAAAAAAGAAATCTGTGAGATTCTATTTTCCACACAATTCCCCGAAAAAAATTGCAATGCAGCTCAAGGACCAAGAGAGAGAAAGAGATACAGATAGAAAGAGAGAGAATCTGGCCATGCAGCGAGCGCAAAGGTCAGTCCAAGGACAAGGCGAGACGCTGGCGAAATGCACAAAAAAAAACACACTCATACAAAAAAAAATGTTGCTCTTATTAAAATCGATATTTAGTGGCAGAGACTAGACTAGGAGCACGGGGCGCACGGGAGGCACGGGGGTGTGGCTTGCCGCTGGTTTGGGTATTTGCATTAAATTATGCGACGAGCAGCGGAAATGTTTGCCATCAAATGAGTGCTGGGCGAAGGAGGAGCTGGTGTTGGGGAGGGTGGACACAGAAGAGGCAGTGGAAGCAGAAGAGGAAGAAGCCGAGCGCAGCATCGTTAAGTGCGGCGGAAACAATTTCACTCTTCAGCACAAGGAAAGCCATAAAAGGAAATAAAAGGAAAGGCAGCTGCGAACGTCGACTGCGAAACATTTGTTAAAGCGAAGCGCCCGCAAAACAAATTGTAACAGAAATCCTTCAAACATCTGTGAATCACTCGCCTGCAATTTAGCCCCACACTTTCCCCTATCCTGCCCCTCCCATTCCCTACTCACACACACACACGCCCACTTGCTATTCCCCCCTTATGCTGTTACCATTCAGTCATCAGCACACACATGTGTATATATGGATGTATGTGTATGTGTGTGTGTGTGTGTGTGTGTGTTGTATTTGTAATTGTTTCCTTTTTGCTTTATGAGTTTTTCATGTATCGCACAAAGTGTCACCCTGTTCCACAGTCTCCCTCTCCCTCTCTCGCTCTCCCTCTCTCGCTCTTGCTGTCTCCCCCTCGTTCTTTGCCCTATAAGCGACTACCTTGCACCTGCGTGCCAGTCCCCTCCCCCCCTTTCCCAGTACGTCTTTGCATCCCGCGCTCTACTTACTACGCGCAACTTTTGTGGAGCGCATTTTAATCGTCGTCATTAAGGCGGCAGCGCGTGCAAAATGTCCTTTCATTTCAGCTCTGGTTCCCCTTGCCCCCTCCTAGCCCCATCGCATTCTCCAATTTTTGTTTTTGCATTACTTGCTCACAGGATATTTCATGTTTTTGTTTTATTCTTGAGTGTTTAGCTGTGTTGCAGTCTGTCCGAGCAAAAAAAAACAAAACAAAACAAAATAAAGCACGACATCAAAGTGCTTCAAGCAAAATGCCACAAAGACGATCCCATACTTATATACACATAATATTATCTCTGATAGGACAGGACCTGCCTCCCTCTCCAGCCAGCCAAAGCTCAATGAGCTTATAATAACTAACTAGCTTAACAATCGAACAAATATTTCTTGTAGGCTTGCCAAGCAAAAGTAAATACAATTCCTTGAATATAAATACAATTACAGCAAATTAATTAGTCATCTATAAATAGGATGTGATTTATCTCAAACACAAATTTAATATTCCTTTAATTTTGAGCTCTTAAATATCAAGCTTTTGATGTGATTCATAAAGCAAGTAACAACTATATATCATATTCTAATTTGAACAATATGTTTCTAGTTTTTCCCATATTTGTGGTAAGACCAGCCAGTTTTCTTTAGCAAAAAGTGGCACTTTGTTATCGCATTTAATAGTTAAAAACGCACACAGAGAAAAGCAACCAACACCTTCAACCGAGCGTAAAAAATGATGAAGAAAAATCATTAGACACAGCTGGACGCCAACTGAGCTCGACTAATAACTTTCAATTGCGGTTATGATGGACCCAAGCTAAGCAGACCCCTCGGAAACCGACAGACCCGGCAGTCTGAGAAGGAGTCCAGAAGCAGGCCTTGTCCTTGGCCACCTATTAAATATTTACAAAATGTGTTGTAAGTAGGAAATTGTGTTCGTTCGCTTTTCAATGGACCACAAAGTCATTCAAGCCAGCAAACACAGAATGTGTCCCTCCATCTGTCCCAGAGTCCGATGGGCGATGCCCGATGCCCGATGCCTGATGCCCGATGTCCAATGTGGCATGTCCATCAGTTGGTTCGTCCTCTGTGGAGCTCTTTTATTTATTTATTTATTTTATGCCTGTGCGTCGTTGTTGCTGCCTCGTTTTGTGCTTCTTTGTGGGGCATTTTCAAAAAGCGCAAAACTTATTTTAATTTTAATAGAAATTAATGAGGTAATCTTCTTTCGGCATTCGCTTTTCGTTCCCCTCACAGCTTGGCTCTTTGACTGCCTTTTAGCTTTCTCCCTTTGGCAAATGGATTTTAATTTCGAGCGTCCCCCTCCACAAAATGGAAAACTTTAGAAAACCAAAAACGCTGCCGTGCCGCCTCTTTGTACAGATTTATAATTGTTTGCCAGCGTTTGGAAGTAGCTTTTTAAAGGACAGGGAGTTGGCGATATGCTCCTTTGATACATCTGTGTATTTAGCTGAAAGCCGCACAAACCAAATTTTTCTAGGTATTTTAGTTGATTTTCCTACTTCGTTTTCATTTTTCAACAGGCAACTAGAAGAAACCGCCATCTTTGACAAGCTGCATTTTATATTCGTCTGTTTTGTGCGCTATAAAGACTAGAATTCTATTTCGTGAAAGTCTTCCGAAAGCAGCGAATTTTTTAAGTAGCTTCAACCCTCAGCAGGTACTCAATTTACCTGCTCTTGGGGTTTTGAAGAGCCCTATCTTGGGTTGCCTGCATGGCTATTAAAATGGATGATATTTCAAAGAGGATTATATATGCGCAATTAAAGTAAATATGTATATCTATATATTTATATATATATATTACCACGCAAGGCAACTAAATGTTGGCAGAACTTGAGGGTAAACTTGGTAAGAACCAACCGTTCAAGTAAGTACCCTTTAATATTGTCAAGGACCTGTTGCAAGGGTATTTTATCATCTTACTATTCCTTTAGAGAAAAAAACTCATTACATATGCTTTGAACTTTTTGCTAATGA